ATTTTTTGATGAAAGAACATTAGAACACCCAGGATTACCTGTATGTAAAAAATGTGGTAGTAAGTTTAGTGCAGAAATAGGAATTTCAAGTCTTAAACGTTATATGAAAAACTAACATAATATTAATATTCTACAAGTAATAACTCAGCAAACTAAACTTCCCTTCTTTTGTATTGATCCATGGCCAACTAAAAAAAAACAGGAACGTGATGATACATTGATAACATGGATAATTGCTGATTAGCAATCTTTCTGTGTTGTAGAAAGTAAGGAATTTATTGCAGCTATTAATAAGTTTGATCCATGATATATTATTCCAAATCGTCAACAAATAAAAGATATGGTCATATCAAATTTTGAAGTACGTTGATCTAGGATAATTAATGATATTAAATGCATTCCTGGTAAAGTCTTATTGATTTCGGATATGTGGACATCTGCTTTAACAACAGAGGCATTTTTGGAATTATCCATTCATTATGTGGATAACGGATGGATTTTGTGTCATTTTTTATTAGATATAATACTGTTTAAAGCAAGACACACAAGGGTTAATATAGCAGAACATATTATTAGAGTACTTAATGAGTTTGGATTAATGAATAAAATTCTTGCACTTACAACTGATAATGAATCTGCTATGGTTGTATGTGGTTGTGAAATGACAAATCAAATTCAACAAGATTTTGATTTTTTGGATTTTTGACATTATAGGTGTTTCGCACATATTCTTAATTTAAGAGCAAAATAAGGGTTAGAATTAGTTGATAAAGAAATAATTAATATTAGAGAGTTAATGATTAAACTTAAAAATTTAACATTAATGTGTGATGCACTTCGTAATTTTTGTCAAATAAAATCAATTAAGTTTCAGAGTCCTGCACGTAATGTGGAAACACGATGGAATTCCACATACTATATGTTACAACGATTTGAACAAATGGAATCTGCTTTGCATTTATTAGAAGTTGAATATCCAGTAATAAAAAATTTGCTTCCAAATATGGAGAGTTGGATAAAAATTCGGGTAAGCAAAAAATTCAATTTATTAATTATTTATTTTGATTAATAAAATACAGAAATTAATTTAACTTTTTTTAAAACAAAGGATACAATTACCTTATTAGAACTATTAGAAAAGGCTACTGTTGTACTTTCTGCTGCGTCATATCTAACAATTGCTGATGTTCGTTTTTTAATAATAGAAATACAAGAACATCTTCAATTTTACATTAATAAAGATGATTTTAGTCAATCAATGATAGCATCTTCAATCAATCAAAAAATTAGTGAATATTGGAATATTGTTGATTTAGCAACTCGTATTGCAGCAATTTTAGATCCACGTACAAAACTTGCACTTTTTGAAAATGGACAACAAACAACTGATGCATTAGATGAACTTCAGACTGTTATGAATAATTATCATTTATCTTTGTCACCTTTATCTACACAAACTACCATTGATAATGCTAAAGTTACAACACATGATTGGTTTAACTATGCAAAACGTTGTCATATTAATGCTACATCATCAAATAATAATGAAATAGCAACAAGTTCTTCAATTACTTCTGAGTTGGATCGTTATATTACTTTACCATGTGATGAAAATGTAATACCATTAATATGGTGACAAGGTCATCAAAGAGAATTTCCTATTTTATCTCATATTTTACGAGATTATTTGTCAATTCAAGCTACGAATGTAGCTTGTGAACAGGCATTTTCTGTTACAACAAATACTATTACTAAAACTCGTAATAGATTGCATCCTACAACAGCTAGAGCATCTTTATGTATAAAAAGTTGGATTGCTAATAGTATTGGAGAAAAGAAGTTGTAATACAAAAGAATAAAAAAAATGTATTGAATTATAATAAATAAATCAATAAATCATTACTGCATTAAATCCATTTATTTATTATATTTTTTAATTAAAATTTATAAAATTTATACATTTAAATTATAATTTAACCATTTTTTAAATTATAAAAAACTAGTCCTAAACCCAGTCTTGAACCAGTTATAGGACTAATTATTAAAGATCAGGTCACAGGTCCCGATAACAGGACTTGCAAGTTATAAGACTAGGACTGAACTAGAACAGACTTTTTCAACCCTAGTTTCGTTCAAACAACTTATAGATATTCCTAGCTTTGGCAGTCTTCTTACGCAAACTATCTTTTGTAAAGCCAGGTAAATGTTGTGCAACTTCTTCATATACTCAGATTCTAGCTTGTTGATCATTAAGCCTGCTATTACTATTCATGATCTCCTTGACTCTTTTTTCAAAGCTTTCTGCGAATTGATACTAACACAAAATTTCATCTTGGTTGGCCTTCATGACACGTTTTTCCGCAAGACTTGCTTTTTTATATAATCGCGCCAAATTTTGTGAAATAGATTCTCCACCCTCTTCACTATCATTTTCTTCTTCAGGTTCTCTGGGTATAGACAATTCTTGCAACAAACCTTGTACCTTGCCCTGTTTGCGAGAAATTTTGGAAGATGATTCCCTTGATAACTGAATTTGTGCATTATCAGTATTGTTCCCAGCTGTTTGATTAGTCAAATTATCTGCAGAACTTTCCACATCTATAGTAAGATTTGTTATTTGATCATGTGTAATAGTTTTGGTTATTTTTTCTCTTGACCTGCAAGAGAATCATCGTCTATTAATCCTAGGTCAAGCAAAAGTTCTGATTTACTTCCTACAGTATCATCACTTAGGGGTCTTTTTTCCTGAAATACTTATCCTTAGATACCATGTGATATTCACCAGAAGCTAGTATAAGTTCCTCATTAACAAGTTCGATAAGTGATATACAACTAGAAATAGGGCATAAAGGAAAACGTGTTTCTGATCGTATAATATGTTTTTCAAGACATATTCGATGGTATATATATTCACATGATAATACTGTGAATGAATGAAGTGGTAAGGCAAGAATTTCTTCGTCGCAGAAGTGACAAGGATTAAGTTTCGGGATATGTTCACCAGTTATTTCAGAAGTATTTCTTAGGAAATTTAATGAAAGTGCTTTAAGTTGAAAAACCTCTATATCATCCGCATGGATTTCTGAAGGACTTGCTGGTATTTCGCTAGTCATACTGTTAAATCATAAAGATTTCTCGCCCTTTCCCCCTACATAAATGTTTTTCATATATCAAGACTAAAACGAAATTAGCCTTACCCTGAGAATTTATCTCAGAAATAAACGTCTCAGAAATGAGTATCTCAGAAATGAGCATCATGAAATGAGTATCATGAAATGGAGATCACGAATAAATCAGGACCAATGATGAAAAAATATGTATAATACTAATTAGTTTGTATTGTTCGATTTTTACCATAGCAGATAAAAAGACTATCTCACCTTATCCTTATGTTATGACCCTTTTCAAACATATATCACAAAAAGACTACTATACTCCCAGTTAAGGCTACGATCATCGCAAAACATGAAAGCCCCTGAGATAAATATGGTAATCCCCTTCAATCAAAGATCTTCAGGAGAAAAGTTTTCTGATTATTTCTATACATCTACTTCAAAAAAAATTTCACTAATCAATTTAAAAATATTTTCCAGAATAAAAAAACGTTTATCCTAACTTCTCCGATACTAGTCCTGCTCATCGCTGGGCTATTCATCTTCAAATATGAGTTTTATTTTTGAGTATGAGTTTTGGAAATCAGATATTATATTCTTTCCAATCCGTAAACACCCCTAATTTCTATTGTTTCCAATCTAGAAGTCAGCCCTAGAATTTTTAAAAATGTTTTTGGGCTTATGCGCCTAGAACCTATTATTAAGTCTTTTTAAATTAGGGAACTCAGTTAGAAGCGCTTCTAGATTTTTATTGTTAAGTATATGTGATCCACTATTTTCAAAACCTAGCCATTGCAAATTTGAGCACGCCTTGCACACTTCGGAAATGTACACATCTGGCTATATATTTATTTCTCCAATAAATTTAAGACCTAACACTTGTGTACATGCATTTGACTTCGTATCTTTGCTTAATGCCTTTGTGAACTTGATTCTGAGAATGTTTGTTAGGACTATTTTTTGCCATATTAGTCTTCTAGCTAAATAGTACCATTGCTTATTAACTAATAAAAGAGGATGTAATTTCTCACCCCCATTTTTTCTATGATATTGAAAAATTCTATCGAGAATCTCATTTGGCATTGAGGTTATATAACGGATGGTTGATTTTTTTGAGTTCGTGGGTGTGGTCAGGATTATTTCTTCGAAATTAGACCACTCTAGTCGCATTACATTCTTTATCGATATGACACCTATTTTTACGATTTTTAGATCTCTTCACCCACCTTCATACTCATATTCAAGCATCTGGTCAGTAGCCTTACCTGAGATAATATATCCATCTATGTGGATATGCTTTATACGATCTCCTAGAGATCTAATTTTTTCTGATATAATTTTACGTCCTTTGCTGAGATAAAAGGTGCCATACGCCAATGTGGACCTGGTCTTCGTCCATCTGAGAATAAATGTCCCCAGAGAGATACTAACATGTGTTTAGCGACATTTTCTACCTGATCATCTTCTTGCTTAATCTCTGTAAGATAACTTGCCCATTGATAGAAGATTTCACTTCTGTACATAAGATGCCTAAATATTAAAGCATTTGGGCTTTTAGATGATAATTCTATATTAAGACCTAGATTTAACGCTAATTGTATGTCATAGTGAGTATAATATCCTGCTGGATTATAGCGAAATGACCTTATGCATTTTTGTTCTACTGGTTGGCCTCTTATAGTGACGCGATAAATTCTATAACTTAGAGTATAGTCGATAGGATCAGTACTAATATGAGTGATTGTTTTAAATTCTCCTGGTCCTATTGGCCAATATGTACCTCCATCTGCTAAGATGTGAGGGTAATATTCATTGAAATCTAGCTCGGTGGCAATTCCTTCATATGACTCAGCCCATACTAAGCCTCTTATGTATGCCGATTTTACCCAATAATCTTCTTCAGTTGTTAAATCTATAGCTTTTCTAGGTGCTCTAGTAACATTTTGAAAGAAACGCAAGCTTGCCATAGCATATGTTTCAGTTTCTCATAAATCTATCTGCCCTTCACTTCATCATGATATTGCATTGACTTCCTCATTGTAATGAAAATGCGCTTTCTGAAGTGTTTCATTAAGATTGGCTTTGATTAAAAACCAGTCTCGTGATAAATTACGGAAGTCACTTTCACTACCAATCCATTGTGTAAATCCATTATAGAATTCGACATGGTTGCCTTTTTTTTCCCAGAATAAGAATCTCCTAATTGCTGAATACCATCTTATATCAGTATTTTGGTAAGTTAAGGCGGTCTCATAGTCACTGTCCCCATCTGACTCCACCTCCGGCTCATCTTCTAGTTCGGAAGATTCGACTGTCTCGGGTGGTACTGGTGTCGGATCTCCCCAAAAATTTTCAAACAATCGTCCTAATGCGCCAGTGATACTACCAAGTAATCCACTCATATTTTCCTAAAGATTATATATAGTTACAAAAAGTTTAAAATAAAAATTAATTTATTCAGATAATTAGAGTTACATATTTATTT